GGGGTATCCCAAGGCTGCGCAGAAAAGACAGAGAAAGAAAATGTCTGTGGGACCCCCACCCCCTTCCACCCTCCAGCACCCCCTGCTGGCTACAAGGAGCCTCGCTTCTGCAGTTCCTGGATGAGAGCTGTGGGAGCAAAAGGAGAAGGTCAGAGGTTAACATCCATTCCTCAATTACAAAGGTCCGCTAAAATTGCCGCTCACAGCCAATCAACAGTCAGCTCTGAACGGAACAAATATGACTTGGAGAAGTGACAGAATGAACACCCACTGCCGAGGGCACAGATGTTACCGAAGCCTCCAGAAAGAGTGAAACGGGGCCACTTCACATCTGCTTCTGATTAAAAACTGAATTAAAAGCTCAGAGAGTTACTCTTAGAGATGGCCTCTCTGCTCGGGGGCTGTAGGGACAGCTCCGCCGAGCCCCTTCCCATAATGCTCAGCAAACAGCTGACACTTCCTCTCTGGCAGCCTGCCCATAACGGTTATCTGGGGGGGTGTCTGTGACCTCACCTCCGATGATTTCCTCTTTGACCTTCTGCAATTCTTTGCGGACTTCCTCCAGGAGCTCCTGCACACACAGACACAAAGTTCAAAGGTTGGTCATACCCTTCCCTCTCCAATACCACCTTCGCGTTTGTGTTAGACGTGGAAAACCGCCAGATCTCCTAGGTGAATCCCGGGAATGCTGCCGTCACCTGCTTTATCCTCTCCATCTCGGATTCCGGGCTGACTCCCGTTTCGTTGCTGCTGGACGTCTGCTTCACCCTGGAAGGGAGGGAGGTAGTGAGGGGGGGAGGCGCACAAGGAGGTGGGAGGAGCAGCCAAGCGAGACTTCGGAGGCTGAGCCAAGCGTCTCTGTCGCCATGGTAACCAGATGCCTCTGGATGCTGTAACCGTGGCAAAGCTCCAAGCGTAACTGAGAGTCAGTCATGCCACTAACGCTGAAGGGGGGTTGGGGGGGGTTGACGCCAAAGGGGCCCTGACTGCTCGTACAGGCTGACTGTCAGGTTAAGGAGCCAAACAGCAGGGGGCGCCAGAACGGAGGGCAGCTGTGCAGAATCACATGGACGGTGGAGAGAGCGGGCAGAAGGTCATGTCGCTAAGGGTAAAGGCACAGCCGATGGCGTACAGCAGCAGCAGCATTAGCAGAAATATTCCAGGCAAACCTGGACAAAGTCCCCCTGGCAAGGCTTCACGTGTTATGTCGGCACTGACCACTGGGTGGCGCCACTAACATGGCAAAGCAGCGGCAATGCAAGGGAGAGCTGCTGTTTTCTGTTGGGGAGGGGGGGTGGCTAAAAATACCTGGACCCTGAGGAGAAAGGAGGGGCAGCTGTGCTGGGAGAGGCGTCAATGTCCTTGGGGGCGGAGTTAGTCCTGTTTGAGACATGCACACTTGTTCATAAAGGACGGCGGAGGGGATGTGGAGAGAGAGGGAAGGATGGAGGAAGGGATGAAGGGAAGGGGGAGGACAGGCAGGCCCCCCTACCTTGGCATTGTAGAAGCTTTTTCCCAGGGTCTTCTGGCGGTTTCTAAGTGTGACAGACGGGAAGCGCAGAGATTCAAGGTCAGGCAGAGCAGAGGTGACAAAACAACATCCTGCATCACGTACAAGCGTCTCCATGCTCAGCAGGTGGGTGGGTCCGTGGGGAAGTGCCCCGCCTGCCCCGCCTGCTCACGCAGCCATCCAACTCACCGGCTGGGGTGAGGGGCTTCGCCTCCGGAGATTCCACGTCGTCCTGCAAGCCCACAGACAGTCGGGAATTGGGGGAGGCTCGATTTCACTACACGCACGCGCTGGTACCCATGCCCCTCCCCTCACAGCACACTCACGCTACTCGGCTCCTCCTTCTTCGCTGCCGGTGGCTTATCTGCGGCCTTTCTCCTGTTTTGGAAAAATTATATTTACATTATATTTGGGCAGAGTCAGAGTCAAAGAGAGGCAGAGTCACAGGGAGACAGAGAGTCAGCACTCCATATATTTGGGAGGAGCAGACCTTCGAGCGAGGATGGCGCTCATCTCGCCCATCAGGCCTCCTCCGCCGCCACCGCCGCCGCCGCCCCCTGATGGTGCAGGGGTGCTACTGCGGTCTCCCTTGGCTGCTGTGGGTGCAGCACCACCATCATCCGCCTGCAGGCAAAAGGAGATCGACAGGCAGTTAGCAAACGGTCCCCTCACAGGCCGCTGTGCACCATGCATCTCTTTTGAATGAACAGCCAATCAGAGCCGCCTGTGTTTAAATAATAAGCCAATCAGGAGTTTCCTGTGTTTCAAAGAACAGACAATCGGTGCGGTTTGTATTTGTGGTGAGAATAGCTGGAATATACCTTGGCCACTTTGCGCAGCTTAGCCCCCGCAAGAGCTGCTGCCAGCCCCCCCTCTTCGCTGCCCCCGCCGCTGCCCCCGCCCCCTCCCCCTACGCCACCCCCGGATGACGGCAGTGGCGGGGCTGGTGGCCCAGAGGGAGGAGGGGGTCCTGGAGGAGGTGGAGGGCCACCTGAGGGTGGGGCAGGTGGAGCCGATGGGGGAGGGGGCCCTGGTGGAGGAGGTGGTCCTGGTGGGGGTGGAGGGCCCCCTGGGGGTGCGGCAGCTGGGGGCGCGGCTGCAGCGGCCTGTCTCTCCCTCTCCAGACGCGCCCTCTCCTGCTCCTGCCTGGGTAGATCACGCACACACACACACACACACACACACACACGTTACTGTACATACAGTGGATAGACCAGAACATTTTGCAATCTACAATATATTCACAGGCAGGAACACACTTAAGGTTAATCCCTAAGGAACAGCTAGGTTGGGAAAGGCGCTATATAAAAATAAGCATCCTCCCGTGTGGAATGTAGAGTTGGGCCATCGCAGTAGGCTGTTCGAGGCCAGTCCGACTCCTGGGATGGGTGTCACTGTGGTTACAGGACATAATGTGTGTGTGTGTGCGCGCCGTGTGTGTGTGTGTGTGTGCGCCGTGTGTGTGTGTGTGTGTGAACGGGTTTACCTATCCTTATGGGGACATAATGTCCCCATAACCTGATAAATATCCATTTATGGGGACCGGTTTCCTGGTCCCCATAAGGAAAAATCGGTAACTGCTATGAAAAAACTAAAAATGCAAAAACTCTTGTACAGTATTTTGTTAGGTTACTTATGGTTATGGTTAGGGCAGGGTAGGGGTTAAGGTTGTCATAGTTAGCGTTAGCATTTTTCCCATTGAAATGAATGAGCGGTCCCCATAAGGATATGTTTACCGTACATGTGCGTGTGTGTGTGTGTGTGTGTGTGCGCGTGTGCCTTTTCCGGGAGAAGGCTCAGATGGAGTGTGATGGGCTTGTGACTCATTAACTCAGCCAGGCTGTGTGTCGTTAGCGTGGCAGCCCCCATCATGGTGACCTCTCAGTCCTCGACCCCGGGCACAGAGAACCCATGTGACAGCCACGTCGCACTCTGCTCCTGCCGAATGCCTCATTAAGGCCTCAGAGTGACCCGGGGGCAGGTAATTAAGCCCAGCGGCCGGGGGACTGCAGCATGACACGTGACACGAAGGGGGGACTTGGTTATCGTGTGTGTGTGTGTGTGTGTGTGTGTGTGATTACGTAAGTCTCTGAAGCAATGCAACTGTGCCCTCTCCCCTCCATTGCCCCACATTTGGTACCTCCTCTGCTGCTCCAGTTCTTCTTGGGAGGGTCCATTCTGCACAGGTCGGGGGGCACTGGGAAAGCCTACCGGGTAAAAGGTGAAATGCAACATCCTTCAATAATTTTTTAAAACCCTATAAAATACGTAATAGTGATAATAATAATCTGTGCGTATCACTGTCTGTATTGGCCTCCTTAACAATGACAGCACGCTGAAACAGGCAGCGGATTGGCCACCTTAACAATGACAGCACGCTGAAACAGGCAGCGGATTGGCCACTTTAGGAATGACAGGAAGCCAAAGATAAATTCAAAGGAAATTCAAATTAAACAGCAGCAGATCTTTGTTTATGTTTAATTCTTCCACAGAACCACCCACCACACACACACACACACACACACACACCGGGTCAATGGGTCACCGGGACACAGTGTGACAGCGGCAGCCATGATCAAAGAGGGACACAGCGGTGGTACCTGCATCACCCAGCGCGCTGATCACTTCCAGGGCATGTGAGATGCCATTGGCGAAGAGGGTGGCGTCTTCCTTGCTGCCAAAGTTCAGACCCCACACCTGCCTGGCGTCCCTCCACTGGTGGAAGTTGGGTGTGGCCTGGTTGTACTTCAGGCCCTTCGTGATTGGGCAGTTGATCACCACCTGTGGAGGGTTCACCAATCATACACAATGTTGCGAATGCAGTGCCTGACTAGGAATCTGAACATGCAAGTTCTGCTGTTGCGTATAAACCTAACCCCTGCTGCTCAGGCTGGATGATGGATGGATGGATATAAACCTTACAAATATTCACCAGCTCATACGCTTCTGCTGTGGTCTGGCCAGTCTCTCAAGGAGTGATACACTGAATTTTACACTGTGGAAATACCAGATGATATATATATTTGTCGGCCACAAGGGGGCGACAAAAGCCACACTTGTGATCACAGTGACACTGGGGTCCATGAACTCTCTCATATTGCTTTGTTAGTTTCCCAGCCTCACATTTTCGAAAATGAAAACCCAAGAAGAGTGGACATCCGACTAGCCGGAAGCAGCGGCGGCTGCGAGCGAAAAGCTGACACGCATGCAGAAGCAGGCAACCTTCTGGTAAACAAACGTGAGAGGCTGAGATGGAGAAGTCAAGGCCAGAATGGGTGGAAAGGGGAAGCGAGTGAATGGCTGAATGTGGGAACGAAGGAGAGCCATAGCGAGGGAACTCAGCAGGAGACCGATTTTACAGGGGCCCAGGGAAACAGGCGGGCACCAGAGGGCGCCAGAGATGACAAAGCCACACAGCGGATGGAAGCGAGACGGGGTGACTGCACCCAGCAGGGGTGCACAGGGCGGGCAGGCAGAGCCAGGACTCAGTGAGTCAGCTAACGGTGCCTCCCCCACATCTGGGGAGTCAGACCGGAACCGAGATACTGTGAGATCCCACAGTGCTGCGCATGACCTGCTTCAGCTTCCTCTCGCACAGCAGAGATAGATGTAGGCAGCAGGGCGTCCCGGCCTGCACATGACCCTGGGCTGTGCAGTGTCTTGCCCTGCCCCATCACGTACAGGCCCCTCCCCTTATATACAGGCCCCACCCCTTACCTACTGGCCACGCCCCTCACCTGCTGGTCCGCCTGTATCTTCCGGCCCACGATGCGGAAGGTGTTGTTGCTGGGGTTGTGGTACACCTGGACCCGGCTGAAGGACTGAGCGCCCGTCCCTGCCGGAACCCACTTCTTGTTTGCGTCATCGTAGATCATCACAGTGGCTCGAGCCTGGCAGATACTGGACTCACTGGAGAGGGGGGAGGGCAGGGGGACGGGAGGTGTCAGCGGGTCAGACTGTAAGGCGTTGATGACGGTTTGCAGAGCCGCATGACCAGCACTTCATGAGACGAAGCCCAGCGGGTCTCGCCCCCCACCCGGCGTGTTGTTAAGGCCATTAACCGTAAGCTCCTGTGTTAACCAACAGCAAGACACAGACATTCCGACTCAGAAACAAACAGGAAGTGGCCGCGCGTCTCCGTGGCAATCAGAGAACACTGTATGCTAACTGAACATGTGAGTCATCTGCACCTTGCTGAAGGGGGGGGGGCTTTGCCAGAAGCCTGAGAGTGATGGAAGGAGGAAGCGGGAGGTCCAGCGACCGCAGTGAGAGTGTCCGGTTCGGCACCGATGGTAATAATGGCCGAAAGAGAAACTGATGGAGCCCCGTCCCGCAGCTCCGGGCACAATAGCGGCGTGGCACAAACGGACTGGTGCAAACACACGGGCCAGCGAGGATCAATTAAACCATCAAGAAATAAAAAGGCTTAAATTTTCAGCGGAATCCGCAAGGATGCCCTGGTTTAGAAAAGTAAGAGACGGCTTATCAGCTCCGACTCCAGCTGCCGGTTTTTCCCGTCAGGTTCTTGTGTTCCAGTGTCACCACAGCTCATTCGCCGCTAATAATCCGTTCTTGTTTCAAAAATCAGCACTTTGCGATGCAGATAGAACTAATCAGCTGTCCAATCGGAATGGTGATTAGGTGACTGCCATCGAAACTGAGCGCGTGCAGGCGTGTGAGCGGCGAGCGGTCAGTGCGACTTGTCGCTCACCGCCTCCGAATCAGAAGCGTTTATGCTTCCATTTATAAATGCTGTATTTTAAGAAGTGGCACAGAGGGTTTCATTTTTTAACGAGTCGCTGCTTCGGTCTTACTCAGGCTCAGCGAAATGCTTAAAAGAGAAATGCAGAGAGAGAGGCAGACGGGACAGACGGATGCATGACGGCAGCCTGCGGAGTAACAGCACGCTCTCGCTCTCGCTGACGCACCACCGCACGGCAGCATGGCTCGGTGACTTAACTCCGCCGCACAGACACGAGGCATCTCTGCCTGCCCCCGGGATTAAAATAAGAAATTGGGTCAGGAGGGGTTTGCGGGGGGGAGACCAGGCCCCACCTCCCCCCCCCCCCCCCAGGGCGGATCTTCATTCTGTATCCACCGCCTCATGCCAGCAACTGATTGGTTGTGTCGAACACAAGATGTTAAGGCTTTGTTAACATTCAAGATGTTAAGGCATTAACATTAAGATCTCATGTCAAACGTCAGCTTTTCTCTACACAGCCTTGATGCCACCAGGTGGCGCAATGGTTAAGGACTCACTGGTTCTAAGGGCCTCTTCTGATTTATTTATTTTTCTTGTTAAATCGGGAGAAGCACGAGAATGAATGTGGGAGTGAGATGTGAATGTGAGTTGGCCTGCATGCTCACGCAAACATGCACACGCACTCACACACAGGTTTGTAATTATATCTTTGTGGGGACTCTCCATTCATTTCCATGGGGAAAACTGTAATCCCAACATGACGACCTTAACCCCTACCCAGCCCTAACCTTAACCATAGGTAACCAAACAAAATACAAGACTTTTGGCATTTTTAATTTTTTGATTGCTTTCACAGATCTTTGTGGGGACCTGAAAATGGTCCTCGCAACGCCAAAATGACATTATGGTCCCCATAATGTAATATAAACCTAATCCACTCATACACACACACACACACACACACAGCCAGAGCCATGCCTTGCCCCTGCAGTGCATTGTGGTTCTTCTCTCAGCTGTTCTGACACCCCACAACAGCGTACGGCACACGTTCTCCACACTCCCATCACCCTCCCTCCCGCTCACGGTTCCCAGGCTGCTCTGGGCCTCCTGTCCGCCCACTTCCTTAAAAAAAAAACCCGAGACCTGTTCCAGGTTCCTCTCTGGCGTGTGAAGCACACATCGGACAGGGCTGTTTAAGGTGCTATGCTGCACACAGATACTCTCACACTTATAATGAGTCACATACACACACACACATACACACACAAACACAGCTGTGAACCCCAGAATCCCACACCTGCTGTTAATTCCCTTCATTACTCGCCCCTCCCCCCCACACTGGGATCAGCGGGGAGGAATGGGCTGGGCAACCCCCCAGCTGCCTGCATTCCCACGCCTGCTGTCTGGGCCATGCCGATGGCCCCCGGGGGACATTCACGAAGAGTTGTACAAGCAGCTGTAGGGGGCGCTTTGACACAATCAGATCAGGAAGGGTATAAATGACTAGAAAAAGAGAGAGCGGGGGGGGGGGGGGGGGGGATGGCAGCAGGAGGACACTACGGGGGTCTGTATGGGTTCATGGGGTCTGTAATAATTCACTGACCATCCCAGGGAGCAGAAAGGCAAACACACCGAAGGACGCACATACCCGGACATGCAATACCTGCACTCACCTGTGGGGGCGCCAGTGGGGCTCGGGCAGCCTCTACGTGTGGGAGAGTGCCCCCTCCTGGGGGGGAAACACTTGTGCTTATCCCACAGCCAGGTGGCGCGCAGCACCGTCAGCAGGCGCACGTCCCAGTGCATTAACCCCGGCCATTAAACGGTGGCTAAACGTCACCTTGACTTAAGCATTATGTCACCTGCTGGTAACCACAAACAACTACAAAGAACCGTTTGTACTACATAAGATCAAGCTATGGGAGAACGACAGGAGGCCTCATGAGTAGGACAATGCAGACAGACATATAGGTGCACAAGCACACAGATGCACACACACACACACATATACGCACATATATACACACCCCTCAGCACAGGAGATGTACTGTGGATAGCTGTTTAAAACACATCCACATCGTTTTTAAACCATGCGACCCCCCCATGAACCGAGGGTGACTTCCCATAGAGTCACTCAAACAAATGCTCCCCACCACCCTGCCCACCTTCAGCGACTGGTGACAGTCATTTTGTGTTTGGCCTTCTGGAAAAAGGTCACGGAAAGTGGCGTGATGAAGTATGTGACCGAGCGTGACACAGCCGCAGTACGGGTGTCCCCGAGGTGCCCGTTTACGTGCCCGCGTCTGACGAGCAGCTTGGCACCGCGTCACGTCCCCTCACGGCTACGCCGGGGTTCGCCGCTCTCTTTCCCGCCTCCGAGTCCCGGGCCGCTATTTTTAGAAGTTGCCCATGGCAACCCATCACCGTGCCGCCACCGTGACTATAGGAGCCTTCCGGAATATTGTGATGTAAAAACAGAAAGTTTGGTTTGGCGTGTAAACACCAGCTGTGTGGTGTCTCCTGAGCCCACCCCTCGCATGGGGTAGGGGTCGACAGCCACACCCCGCTTCACTAATGCACTAGGGGGCGTCAGCCTAAGTACATTCGATTGTGCTTTAATGGCACTGCTAATGTAGCCACTTCCCGAAACCCAAGCTGGGAGATGCGTGGGAGATCGATCCGAACCGGCCGCCCTCCATTTAAGCTCACGGCCACCGTTCTGTCCGCTAGACAGCCGGCTAATGCTACTCCCTAGAGCATCAGAATCCGAGTCAGGTTCACTGGCCACACACAGGGAAAATGTCTGTGGCCATATACAGTCTGATATATAAAACAGACATGTGTGGATGAGAAGTGTATAAAAAAGTGCAGGTGTGCAGTGCAAGGAATGTATTATTGAATACAATAGGTACAGAACAATAAATAGTAATCATTGATCCGATCAACCCAATAGGCAAACACAACCTGGGAACGCCTTGGTAACTATAACACCAGCCACGAAGCAGAGCCCCCTGGAGGCCAGGAGGACTGGAAAAATGAGCCATTTGGGGAAAACTGAGTAGGATTTCCAAGAAGCACCTCCCTTGACAATACATGAGCTAAGGCGGGTCCCACGACTCTGAGCTCATTCTGCACCATGGCGCCCCCTACTGGCCCCTCCCATTTTCCTCTTTAAAAGCTTAGTAGACATTTTCTACGGAAAACTACTTTCAAAAACACAAGTTACACACTGCACAACTATTCTGATAATACAGTCCCAGTTAATAATCCAGCATGACACCAAAGTGGTCAGACCTCGTCAGGTGCCTGAATGATAAAACAAATCATCCTTAAGAACTATGTCCCCTGCTGGCCAGTGTTGATAGAGCTGAGAAATTCCTCATGGCTATAATTATACTAAATAAGATATTGGGGCTGTTATTATAAGGATAGATAAAGAAAACCTTTGTAGGCCTAAATTTAAACTGCCAAATTACTGTAGGAATAAATAATGACGCGCAAAGTGTAAAACCACCAATCGCGTGACATCAAGGCGACAACTTACAGGGCGACATTTACACCGAACTGAGAATTTTCGTGAAGTGTAACTCTGAGAAGTGTAATCTTTTTGCGATTCATTGCCCTATCGGGAGGTGTGGAGGTCTCGCGAACAAAAAAAAAAAACAAGTTCCCCTTTGCAATTTCCTACATGAAAAGACTCACAGGCCAGACGTGTGAGGTGCACACGGAACAGCGCAAACACTGCGAAAGATGAATCGCTGCGTGGCCCCCAAGCATCAGAGGAGAGCGGATGAGAGCCAGTCCGCTACATCATCCCAAGGAGATGCCCAAAGCTTCATTGCCTGTCCTGCACATACTTTCAGCGCAGACAGGACTGAGTGATGTACTACTCAGGGTGAAGGGGGTGGCTGTGAATGTGTCATCTCTCCGGGAGACAGCTGTCCGGGAATAGCTGACCGGCGTTCCCACAATCCCACGCCAGCGTTGAGACAGCCATCCCCGTTTCGACCATCCCGTCTCTCTGTGTCCAGTGTGAGCGAGTGTTGTGGGAGGACTGGCATGTTTTCCAAAGATAAAGCAGTTTAGTCTGGGGCCAGAGCTGGGAGTGGGCGAGCAAGGGCGAGCGGAGCGATAAGCGGCATGAATCACGTTGCTGCCGCGTTGACAGCCATTATGCCGGCCGAACCGCTTCCCCTGTTTTCTGAATAACCATCTGTGGAAGATCAGCTCCAACGAGGTGCCACTACACCACTGCATCTTTCCACCGATTCTCCATTCGGTCATTCACAGATCTCAAACAAGCTCATGCAAATCAACCCATAAGTTACTATAGTCCTAAATGACTGAAAAGTTACATTTAACGGATGATCTCTAAAAGACCCCAAAAAGTCATCACCTAAGGTTACGCCACCCATCCTACACACAGCAACATGCAGCACCAGGTATCGGCGTTAAACATGTCGGTCGCTTTCGATTTCGTTTTTTTTTGAAGTTGCGGAAATCCGCACATGTTTAACATTAGGAAAATCTTTTTCAGTTTGCGCGGAAACCACGTCCTCTTCCTCACTTTAAAAAACGTTACATGACATCTGCACTAGTTGAAAGTTCCATATTTACTTTTCAATATATAGGCTTAATATACCTAAATATTTAATACATAATATACCTAAATATTTAGGCTACTTAAATATTGTAATTGAAATCGGACTGGTAAGTCAGTGCGGATACAGCGGATATAGAATTTCTGCATAGTTTGCACATCCACCTCGGATACTTTACGGCACTATACTAAGCCTCCGTAAACTCCGTACTCTGCTCCTCTGCACGGTCCAGCTGCAAAACGACAACTAAGTGGCGGCGATTCGGAGCCGTGAACCCGGCAGGCTTTGCCCCACAAAGGGATGCGGCTCTGAGCGCACCGATAATGTCAGCGCGGTTCCGGGTGCAGCCTGCAGTGAAACCGGTCCTCTAGCCAAATCTCGGAGAACAGAAAGAACGAGAGAAAGAAACAATGAATAACAAAGGCAACAGCCGCCTTTAACCTTTGGGGGCTAAATGGGGAAATTGGGAAATCACCTACGACGTGTTACAACTGAATGTGAGAAGTGCATTGTGCAAAGAAAAGACGGCGTGGCATAATAATGTAAGGCAGAAAAATTACCCACTTTCATAACAACCCTCTTAAAGCTAAGACCGTATAACTAAATTATTCGGTTCGGTCAGACGTTTGGTCCGTCTACATCATGCATCCACAAGGATCTCAAGATGGCGAGATAGACACACAGGAACACGGACGCCTGTATTTTATATATTTGTGCCGTATGAAGTATCTCTGCCAGGAGGCTCAGTCCAGTACAGTGCAAATGTCCATGTAAAACCGGTTATAATTCAGCCCTGTGTCACAAATAGGTGCGGCGACGATTGATCGCAATGGGGAGGGTGAAAAGTTTAGGATAACTGTCAGATTGACAATCGTTTAAAGAGACGGGCAAATGAGTGTCTTCCCACTTAATCCCCGGCAGCCAGAGGTGCTTTTTAACCTATTAATACAGAATCTGGGATAGACAGAGCCAAAAATAAAAAGGAAATCCATGGTTCAGCACCGGCTCTGTGCACCGTGTTGAAAAGCAGCCGGATGAAGGGAGACACGCGTACAAATCACACTCACCCCAGTCCTTACCTCATTTTTGGAGAATGGTGTCGGTGCCGAGCCGCGCCGAGTCCCCGGTCCCGGTCCGCAAACGAAAGACACAAAAGCGATTATGCAGCCGGTCGGGGGTACAGATGTAACCAGCCGCCCCGGGTTATGAGTTCATGATCATGAAGAAAACAAGAGAGAGAGAGAAGAGGAGGAGGAGGAGGACTGGCTGGCTATTTCCTGATTCGGGAGGGGAGGGGAGGGGAGAGAGGAGCGCGTCCTCGCACGGCTGCCTGCCGGCGCTCCGCATAGCCTGTACACCCACCGCTCATTTATTCCCACTTTACATGTAACACAGGGTGATAGCGCCCACGTTTAGACCCCATTCCTGTCGCCTTCCGCCCGAAACACCTATCCTGGCTGATTTGCCGTGATTTCGGTGCCGGGCCGGCGCTCCCCTCTCATCGTAACCCTAAATGATGATCGAGCCGCAGCTTCAGCAGCCGAGATGCGGGATTAAGCGGGCGACCGTTCCGGTGTCTTCGCTGTTACACGGGGCATGGAGATAAAACCCCTTTATCTGATTTTACTGGGCTTTATTAAAACCCCGCAATACATGCATTTATTTTAAACGTCTACGTACCTAAACTACCGGACTTAATGCCCAGGCTTCTCGGTGGTCACAGAAATACCATACTCAAGGAGGAAGGAAGAAGAAAAAAAAAAAAAAAAGTGAATCGTGAGTTTAAAACCGCAAAGCTTTTCCTGTCTCTCACCCCCACACAGACAAACCTGGGTTTAAACTCAATCAGTTATTCTCATGAAAAAAAAAATGAACAAAAGTATACGTCGATAAAGGCTTAACGAACTGAAGTGAAAATGCAGTCGTGTAAATAACTATAGATTAAACCACCACAACCCGGATAAGAATGTTCTCGTTTCTCCTTTTGTGCCTCTCAATTGTAATCTCTTTTCTGCGGGCAAAAAGCGACAGCAGATTAAAAGTTGCAGAAGTTACTTTAAGGCTGCATACGGTCGTCCATCTCTCGCTGTATATTGTTCAGATGTTGATTTTATGCAAGAAGCACTTTACTCATATGACTCAGCGCTATTGGTTTCCCAAGTTTGCCCTACACGGCTAAAAGCCGCAGGGCTTTATATGCTTGTTAAGTATATATTATACAGGGTAGTTCAAAAATAGCTAAACAATTAGACATGAGTAGGCCCCTATAGGCCTAAAATGTTTGCGCGAGTATTTTATCCTTCTAATTTCATGTAATTTACTATTTTCCCGATTTCTCGAGCACAATTTCGGCGCAGGATATTTGCATTCAGAATTTAATATGCCCGTTGTTTCATTCTTAAACAAACATACTTAGAAAATAATGGCAATTCAGCCTTACACGACCCTGCAGAGTAAGCCTATATAAACATGAAAATCCCGTGCAGCGATTTCAGTAAGAATTTTGTGGTCCAGCCTGTAGCGAATTAGCGTTTTGTTCCGTTCGCGTATTAAAAGTATGATTAAGCGTTAAATGCATGGGCAGGTTTCCTCAAACTCTAAAACCATTCATCTAATACGATGTCGTTATTGTACTTGCGACCATTTACTACCGACAACAAACACAACGATGAGTAATCAAAACACAGCTTTCTGTAAACAGACAATGTTTTTATACCTAATCTACATGCACATAGTCCTATATTATGCGTGTCCATTCATCTCTTCCAGGAAGCACAGGGTTCAAGGATGGGGTACACCCCTCATGGGACACAACTTCGTCGCTAGACACAATCATACTGTACGGGCGCCTGACAGATGCCAGCCAGAGCAGTACTCGGTATCTTTGAACTGGGGGAGGAAACACTCATGACGTGGATATAACATGTAAACTCAGCACACTGAACAATGAATGCTGCCCACCCAGGCTGCCCCTAAGTCAGCAGCGCTGGGTTCCCTTTTTAGGGCGTTTTTCAGCACAACCTTCCCCACGTTTTATTCCGCTCTTCGTTATATCGAAGCAACCATATTAATTTCTACCAAACGATCGCTGGCTTTAAGCCAATAGCATTTAGTGTTTCCGATCAAAACCACGTTAATGCAACTTCGCTCTGCACCAGCAGAGGGCGCTGAGGATTACCGTGAACTGATCAACAACTTCTTCCGAATAGCACAACCACACTAGGCTAAGGTTCTGGAAGGCAACACCATAAAACCGAATGGCCATATATAGGTTACCAAGAAATGTAAGCAAAGGTCAGTTACATTATCGAAAGCCTAACATTAAACTGTACCACCACAGAAAAAGGCACCCAGTTGCAACTATTGCATACTTCCGCAATTTCAATAGAAACTTAAGAAGCCTCACAGAGAAATTGGACAGCAAATGACAAAAACTTTTTTTCATTTTATTAGGAAAAAAAATATCGCCAAAGAAAATGGCAAATGTTACAAAGCCATAGAGATATCCAAAATTGTAGCCCAACTTAACAGGCGAGTCATTTGGAATCATTTGAGGGGAAGCACATAGTAGTCAGATTTCCACTGTCCGGTTAACATCGAGTCTTATCTAAACCTATTCTCTGGTTCAATACAAAGAAGCCATTTTAATAACAGGAAAAAAGGATCTTAATGTGAACCGCATTTAAAACTCACCACCACACATTCAATGACTCATTAAGTTCTATGAGGTGACAACCAGATACTAGGGAACAAGACACATGGAGAAAATGACCACAATCTGTAACATGGCGACTGGCTGGAAGGTTGTTAGACCCAGTCTAGGTTCCAGCCTTGAAGTCCCAATTAGTGGCTCCAGATTTCCCTCAGAAATATATTTTTTTTTTGGGGGGGGGGGGGAGATGGTAAAAAAAAAATCTGTAACGAAGTTACAAGTTACACATAACATGAATACATTATACAGAGTGTGGGCTTTAATTAACCAAATAAACAAATCAAAGACCAAAATGATGGACCATAGCATGTGATCGCCGAGGACTGAGACTGTTCACCATTCATCTAAAGGGGGGGGGGGACTATTTCCCACTGATGAGTGGGTTTCTCAGCACCACAATGACTGAGTCACCACGCAGGAACATCTTGGAGATATAGCGGTCCTTGTTGACCGGCTTGGACTTCTTCTTGCCCTTCCCGCTCTTAGGGACCTCAGTCCACATTTCCTTCACATTCTCCAGCACCATGTTGCAGTGCCTGCACAGGATGGGAAGACACATCGACACAATGTTATTTATAATAGGTGAAAATGACCATGTCCATACAGTACAAAAACCTGACATAAAGACACATTACAATGTCTGCCTTTTTTCTTCTTCCATTAAATAAGTTATTAGTGGCCAATAACACCGCAGCAGTATAGCTCAAAGCAGAAATATACAATCCCAAGCTTTGGAACCCAAAACCAATTCCTTGTTCTCCACAACTTCTATATGGACCATTTTGTTGTAGGGTGTGGACTCACCCAGGTCCAAAGTCAGCCAACCTGGCCTAACAGGTTAACAGACAGGAGGCAGCGGGTAGTTATTAGAGGCACAATGTCACAGTGGGCCTGCATTCATAGTGGGGTACCGCAGGGTTCAATTTTAGGACCACTATTGTTCCTAATTTACATAAATGATATTGACACCAATACATACAGTAAACTGGTTAAATTTGCAGATGACACCAAGGTGGGTGGTGTAGCAGATACTGAACTAGCAGCACAGAGGCTACAATGGGATCTTGATTTAATTAGCGACCGGGCAGATTAAATTTAACGTAGATAAATGTAAGGTGCAGGGAGCAGAAATATAAAGTACAGGTGTTTTCTGGGTTCCACTGAAATAAAGGTAGCTGATTATGAGAAAGACCTCAGTGTGTATGTTGATGCTTCCATGTCCCACTCTTGCCAGTGTGGGGAAGCAATAAAAAGGCCAATAGGATGTTGGGTTACATCTCTAGGTGTGTGGAGTTTAAGTCAAGGAAGGTGATGCTACGATTATACAATTCCTTGGTAAGACCCCAGCTAGAATATTGCGTGCAGGTTTGGTCACCAGACCTTAAAAAGGACATTGCTGCCTTGAAAAGGTTCAACGTAGGGCTACAAGAATGATTCCTGGTCTTAGTGGAATGTCTTATGAGGGGAGGTTAGCTGAGCTGAATCTGTTCAACCTCAAGCATGATCCAGGTATATAAGATTCTAACAGGTCTGGATGCTGTCCAGCCAAATGGCTACTTCAATATTAGTTTAAATACTAGAACTCGTGGCCATAAGTAGCAATTACCGGGTGAACATTTTAAAATTAAATTGAGAAAGCACTTCTTTATACAGCATGTAGAGTACAGAATAGTCTTCCTGTTTAGTGTAGTGCAAGCTAAAACCCTGGGTTCCTTTAAATCGGAGATAGATAAGATTTTAACAACTCTTGAGTTATTAGTTAAGTTCTCCCCAAACGAGATTGATGGGCCTAGCGGCCTCCTCCCGGTTGTACATTTCTTATGTTTCTACCTGTCAAACGCCTTAACACGGCCCAGCAGCTTTTTGTTATTTCGGCAGTTGATGAGGACTTGCGTGTTGTTTTTCACCGACTGGGTGAGCACGGACAGCGGGCCCGTGTTGAACTCCTCCTCCTCCCGCTTCTGCAGCTCCTCCGGCGTCATCTCCGATTTGGGCTTATTCAAAAGACTCCTACAAAAGACGCGAAGATATTAAGTGCTTACTTAGAAATCCCACGCGGGACTTCAGTTAGGCCAGCTCTTTGCCAAGAGTTACACGCACCAGATCAATCACCGGCTAACACATGATGATACACACGATAAAGAAACGCAACCAAATTGCCTCGTAAGCACTCCACAAAATGAATAATTACATTAAGGACAAAACAAATAACTTACATGTTTTTGTTCAGACTGCAGTCGTAGCGAATATGAATACCGACTAGACTTAACAAAGCAAACTGGCGTGCTGCAGCAGATGGCGGCTTCCGGTAAACCCGCGTTTCCTTCCGGCGGTATCACTTCCGGGTCACATGTGCCTTAATTCGACTAGAGGGCGGGTTATTGCTCCGTTAATGTATATTACAGTGGATGCACTTTTCGTTATTCATCGCGCATATAAGTAATCTGATTAGTTTCCATGCTTTTTGACGGTTGATAATTCACCGACGATTAGTTTCATAATGTGTTACTCCCATAACTGCACATAAATATTAGTTTTCATACGACGTGGCCACAACAGCGTAACTTTGAACACCACTTATATAGCCGGATAGATTTACAAAAAAATAATAAAATAGCTATATACTTCCCGAGATTTGATTCTGCAGCCTTCTATTGACAACGCCACCGTACTTATGTGAGACCCCGTTTGTATGAGAAGCACGCATTTATTGTATCTCTCCATCTCCCACAATCAATGCATATCATGCGCCGGCGATAATATCAGGCTAGACAGGATGTTTTTTCTCACCGTTAATCACACCTATGTCGTATTATTAGGTCAGGAAGTGCTAGATGATGGGAGGTCTTTTAAACAGGCGTTAAAATAATCCACAGCTTCAGCTGTCGCTGCGGGTAATGGTGTCTGTTAATGACTAAAAAAATAAAAGCAGAAATAGTGACATTGTGTTTTTCTTTCCGAATGGGTCGTGCAGCGGCGCAGCGTCCCTCTCGCCGGCCTCCGCATAACGTGCGGTTGGCATTGCCAAACAGGACCATTTAACAGTCAAAGATATTCCCGCAAACCCTCCTGCGCCAGCCCAGTCCGGCCTAAGCGCATCTAGGTATGCAAAGCGGAGTTTCAGTACGACCTACTTTGCTGCCCTGGGTGGGGCGGCCAGGAGGATCCTTCTCACTACTACCCGTGTTCCACTTAATTATATTTATAAATAAATATGTTGCGTTAACTCTACACCAGCAAGAACAAAAGGTGCTGTTTGAACGGCATTACGATCCTACCGACAACTCTGCGCTTTCATTGAACGAATGGATGTCAGATTACCTGTTTATCACAGATATTTGTGTGATAAATACCTGTGCAGCCCCGACTGGATGTAGCGATGTATAAATGCAAGGCTGTAATCATAATATATATCGGGGAGACATATTGACAAGGCTACGGTCTCTTCAGATTCTTTCACGATGGATAGCTTTCATAGGCGTGTAGGGTGATGGACCGTTTAAGAACCAGCTGGAGTTTTGCAGAGTTAATCGAATTTGACTGTTGGGATGCACTTGGCTCCTTCCAGGTCTGCCCAGAAGGTTGCCTGTGACCACACCTCGCTCCCCGTCAGCGCGGCTGGGTGGGGCGCATATTTGCATACAGTTAGAGCGAGTCTTGCAGTCGGCAGCGGGAGAGCAGGACAGTATTGTGTGACAGCTGGCCAGGTGGCCCGGCGAGCGGTGACAGGCAGAGGAGCAGCCCAGACAAACTTCCCTGGCTGTCACTATCTGTCGCGCAAAGCACTGGCCTCCGGCGTTTGAAAATTGCTTGGACCTTTTCCGCAAAGTTTGTGGGCTTAAAAGATTTGTTGGAGGGGGAAGTTATGCAGTGTACACACATGAGCACACAGACATCCGTGCACAAATAGTACAGGGTTGCCAAGTCTCACGCATCTGTCGTGACACACTTTCAGACTCACACTCTTACTGCAAGTCTGTATTATTCTATTATAAACCTAAAATTAGCTACACCAAAACTGTTTTTTTCCCCCACAGCAATAAAACAACAATTTTATTATGAGGTAATAAAACTGTTTCATACATGTAAATGCGTGTGCAGACTTGAATTGAAAATCTCACACCTGCCAGCTGACCAAACTTGGCAACCCTGAGAGTGAATCAGTGAAAATTAGAAGTGCTAGCTGGTTGTTCTTCATCTGACCCCTGTAACATTTGCCTAATGCTCTCCCTCCCCATCCTGCCAGTGGATTCTGACCTCACCGCCCCGATGTGTGTCACTGCACTTCCCCACTCACACAGTTCACTGGTGTCCAGAAAGAAGTAAGCCCATCCTAAGCGTCCTTTGGGGACAGCGGGCTGCCCAGGGGGAGGAACAGGGCTGCCCTTGAAATAAGGGCCCCGTGGACGTCGTCGGGCCCCAGCACAAGTCAGAACACACCATGGTCGCCCTGCTGTCTTCAGGCACGCCAGGAAGTGCCACGTGGAGCTTCGCCTGCAGGCTGCCGTGTTTGCTCTGCATGAAAAAGCCTCTGGGCCTTTTAAGTGTAAGAAGGACACGTGACGAAAACAAACACAAAAAATTAAGGTGCGTCTTCCTGCATTACACTGGACCAGTTTATGCGGGACTCGGCGTATAAAAAGGGAAGGAGAGGAGTAAGCAAATGTGACTAAGCGTTGCGTGTTTATGCACTTTTTGTATTTGCAGAACAATTTAAAAATGAGGGATCATGTGTAAAAGCCTTCATGCAGCCCTGGGCTGCAGCTGTGTGTTTACACATGTACTCTGACTAGAGACCGGAAAGGGGGGCAGGCATGGAGCAGATCCCTGGGGGGGGGGTGCGGCTCTCGACCCCCCTGCTGCATTTGAATAACCTTTATGCACGCTGGAGAGCGACAGGCCCAGCAGACAATGTGTAGGGGACTCTGGCAAACAGGTGATTTTACTAGCAGTTCAGGCTGTGCCCCCCCCCCCACTACCAAGCCTCTGTTACACAAACCGTGGCGTCGGTGAGAGGATCCGTCCTGGGGCCCCGATTTGCATAGGTGCGGGGGGGGGGGGGGGGGGGGGGCCTGAATGGGGCAGGCAGATTCTCAGTACCTGGCATGCAAACCAGCTTGGGAGGGGGGCAGTTACAGTGCCTCATGCATCAGCCTGCACAGGTGTGTCCACCCCCCCACATGCCCTGCCCACCCCACCCAGTCCCAGGGGCGGGATAAGCCAGGGAAATGAGTGCTGTGATTTCTTTTCTTTACCTGTGGGGGTGCGGGTTCGGGAGCAGTGATAGGTGCGTATGAAGCTGCCTGGGGGAGGGGGGAGGAGGGGCATTGGCCGACACCCACCGCGCATAAACGGAGACGGACAGGACCCCGGGACAGTGGTGGCAGACGGGCGACGAGGACAAAGACAGAGAGATGCCACGCTCCTTTCTGGTGAAGAAGAAACGGGGCATCTACGGGGGATGGAGATGGAGGGATGAGGAGGAAGAGCAGCCACCCGTGAATGAGTGCCGGACAGGTGAGGAAGGTCAGGGCAGAGCAGGGCGACTCAGGACAAAACTCACAGGTACAGACACTGAGTAAAGCTATGTGTGTTTCTGTGTTATTCCATGTATGGTGCGTATCTTCAGTGTGACAAACCCCACCGCCTGGGGACGTCATTGTAGACAGTGACCGTTTGCCAGCTAGTCTGTCTGTCTGTAGACTGAAACTGCACAATGTTTCACTCATTCTGTCATTTTCTGCTCTTCCCTCAGCCACACAAACTGCCCCGCTGCCCCAACACCAATCATCTACCCCCGGCTCCAGTGCAGAGCCCGCCACGCTGCCTCAGCTCTCTGCCGCCAGCCTGCCAGTGGAGGCAGCCCAAGCCTGGCCCCCCTGTCTGTCCCAGCACCCCCTGCTGCCTACCCAGGGGCAGTATTACCCCCATGCCGTGCTGTCCATGGCCCCCCGTGCCAAGGTAAGGCTGACGCTATCCTCATAGCCACGCTCGCTCACATGCACTCACCATCCAATAGAATGAGCTGAGGATTTTGACCCCGCCCCTTTAACCGTGGCTCCTCCCTCTTCACCCCACCAGCCACGCTTGGCCACTAGCTCTGGGGACTTCTTGTGCGCCGTCTGCCACAAGGTATTCCCGCTGCAGCGCATGCTGACACGTCACCTGAAGTGCCACAGCCTGGTGAAAAGGCACCTGTGCAGGTACTGCGGCAAGGGCTTCAATGACACCTTCGACCTGAAGAGGCACATGCGCACGCACACGGGTGAGAGCGCCCCCTACTGCCCCCGCCTGCTCATAGCACACGCACGCACCCAGATGCTAACGCGCCCGCTCCCGCAGGCATCCGGCCGTACCGCTGCGAGCTGTGTGAAAAGGCCTTCACGCAGCGCTGCTCACTGGAGTCCCACCTACGCAAGATCCATGGCGTGGCCCAGCAGTACGCGTATCGCCAGCGCCGCTCCAAAATATTCGTGTGCGAGGACTGCGGCTTCACCTCCTCGCGTCCTGATGACTATTTCCAGCACATGCGGCAGCGGCACCCGGGAAGCCCCGCCCTCCGAAGGTACTATCGCAAGCACACGCACGAGCAAGGGGCCCCCAATACCACGGAGCACAAGATCACCCCCTTAGTGCTCTACCCGCACACCAGGTACTTCATCTGACTCCCCCCCAGTCCTCTGGGGGGGTTTGGTTGGCCCCTGTCTGCTCATCCCCTCCTTCATACCCATCTCTCCATAAGGGCAACATAAAATATGTCCATGGAAACTGTCCTTTATCTCTTTTCGTTTTATTATTTTTTAAAAATGTATAATAATAATGTACAATAGCACTGACAAAAATAAAACTAAATACAAAAATTGGCCAGTTGTTTGCTGTTCTTCTCGAACACCAGTCACACAATGACACTACAGAAAGCAGTTCCTGTTCCGCTGTGGAAGCCAGTCGCAGGGGACATGGAGATACGATCCTGTGACAGACAGTATCTCCGCTGGCCTGAGACCAGAGGGGTGTGTATTGATTTTGATGTATGTGTGAGACACCTTCCTCCCGCTCCTCTTCACTCAGTCCAGCGATGTCCACAGTGAGGCGCTGTGCACACATAGTACAGTCTCATGGCATCCTGCAAAATGAACAAGATGGTTACACTGTGTCATAAAAAACAAGCTCTCTAATGACATCTACCAGCTTACTTTTGCACACACACAACAAAAATAATTTATGAAGCAGCAGTACAGTATTGCATATTCTGCTAGGAGGAATTAAACCTGAATGAATACTGCACCTCAGCTTTCATGCTGTGAGACTGGAAGAACACCGCCTCCTTGTGTCCGCACCTGGAATTAGCAGGCGACAAAATGCGAAGCAAGAAAGTGGGGAGTCAGAGGCAAGCAAGAACTGAAACCACCAGAGGCAGGGCATGAGAGTGTGGGGGGAGACTTGGAAACTTACTTGGGACATGGATGGTCTTCAGTACGAGGCAGGGTGGGGTCTTGGGACACATCTGCTATAATCTGAGTTAGTTCACTAGGAGACATAACCACGGGCACGGTTAAAATAACGGTGTACTCTGCGTTATGTACATTACCAGTTACAAAACTGCAAGACAGTGAACGCCACTCACTCAACCTCGTGTGTGATCTTGTTGACATAGATGCAGCTGTTATCGGCTTCTTGCTGGTAATCGCAGTTCCTGCACTAAAACGCGTTGAGACAAACGTATGAGTCGAATCGCCGGTCGGACACAGATCTAAACGCAGCAGCCAACAAATCAGTGATTCTGTACACCTCATCCAACCTGTCATAAGAGCAGTGTATTCATTTTGCGAGGCGGTTTTCGTTACGCCGTTTACCAATCGACCCCAGAAACGTCCCTTCAGTGGCCAGAAGATCAAGCACTTAGACAGTAAAGACCTTTCACTTACTGCGTAGAGTAAAATGCGGTTCTCTTTGTCCTCTTTCGGATACAGCATGTTGTTGCTATAAAAAACATAATTCCATATGATGTTTCCGGGCATAATAAGCGGGTCAAACAGTCACATTAATGTTCATCAAACGTAACTTATGGACACAGACTAGCACTACGATGCTAACAGGTTAGCTAGCACTAATTTTAGCGTCCCTTGATAAAGTAATTCTTACCATTCTTGACAGAACCTGATTCCCACAAACCCAGGTTCATAAGTACCACCCTCAAGCTCCATCTCCAACACACAAAAACGCTAAATTATACGACTTATAGGAGTGAAAAATGCGAATGCGGTGCGCACCCCCCTGCTCAGGACATCTCACGCATGCGCTGATGAATCGTCGCGCTAAAATGATGCGCATGTGATCGGCGTGCCGCTCCCTGGAGTAGCGGAGGATCAACCTCACTGCTAAAAGTACTATTGCAGCAAAGTAACTAATAGCAACGATCTTCAAAATAAATAAACAATGTTCTTATATTTATTTTGAGTGCTAAAATTAATTTACATTTTGTTAGAAAAGAAGATGTATTGTAGCTATGGGAGACATGGGGTGGCTGATTTAGCATAAAATGATTGCACACATTACCCAAGTACATGAAGATATACATATAAAGAAGTAAATGTGACGTTGCTTTTGTCTAGCTGGATTTTCGCAGAACATGGGCCCTGATAACTCGTCAGGTTTATGGTAGTCTGGGCAAGATGCGCGTGAACGAAAATACGGTCATTTTACGGTCCACTAGGGCAATTTAAATAAGCAGGAAATCCTGCTTCGTGATACAGGCCACTGATCAGAGTCGTTTTATTCGCCTTAGAGTGATGGTCCCCCGGGATTTATATATGTATTTTCTTTCCTGTTCACCTATTCAACAATTTCCCTTCGTGAGATTAATAAACTTCATCGTATCTTGAATCGAAATTGCGGGTTAATTTTGTCAATAACACTGAAGCACTATATTAACCACGTGGCAATATCAGAATGATTGATTGCGTGGGACACCAAATAAACACCAATTACACTGCGGTATAAATCCCAGATCTGCTGTAGAGCTTACAGGGACACTGGGATCACGCCTGGTAGACCCGGAGACATTGCATTATATTTTTTTGCAGCCCTTAGTACAAGGAAATGACCTGAAATTAATAATGCAACTCTTTATTGGTGTTACAAGAACAATTTTCATGGTGATTACACGTGAGCAAGAATAAACTTTTAAATATTTTCCTCGTAATAAAATAAACGCCTGTAAAATTTCATAAAAACGACAATATATTACGTTCTCATTATGTTATTACCTAGTACGTGAAGGTTATGTGCGTCCGTCATGCACTAACTGAAATATTGCACACTTTTGTTAAAATCGCAACCATTGCATACAGCTCCCGCTTACATGCAGCACTGAAATCAGCAACACCCACCGCGACCTTCCGTCATCCTCTTCCCGGCTGCTACATTCTGTCTTCTTATCAGTAAACGTCATGCATTCGTGAACGTGACGAAAACTACGAGAACGTCCTTAAGCCCCCCACCCCGACCTGATGGAGGGCACACAAGTCCTTCTGTGTCCTTGGTTGTTGACTATCACGGCCCGCCCCCCAGACTGACCCCACCCCACATTATTATTGAGCGTCATATAGTGCAATATGTGATCCATGCCCAAATGCATCCGCACACGTTGCACATGTAGACCAATGACTAGTTGGAAAATTCAAACAGTGTAAACATTAGTGCTGTGATATATAAACGTACAGGGTAGGACATATCCTGCCTTTCGACTTGAAGGCCTGTCAGCCCCACCCCTCGCACCTGATTGGCTGCTTGTCCTCTCCTGCTTTTCGCACTGTTGTATAGTACAGTGACCTTTAAGAACCATAGAATTGGTCCTGTTAAGACTAGTTAAGACTAACTGAGAGTCGTTTAACATCACACAGTCCTGCACGACAAACGGCATCAATATTCTGGAAGACATGCCCCCCCCATGTCTGTGTGTCTTTTGCACCCTCGTCAGGCCTCATCAGCAGGCCTCATCAGCAGGCCTCATCAGCAGGCCTCATCAGCAGGCCTCATCAGCTAGTCCTCTTGCATCTGTTTACGAACATCTGTCTGCCTCTGGCTGCCCATTTCTGCTTCCGCCTGTCCGTCTAGCTGGATTTAGGTGTTTCTGTGTGGCACTGCAGACAACATCAGACATCTTTGCATAGAGGTTCCGTTGGTTAAAAGAAGGCATTTCCGCTGCAGGGATGAGTCCTGGACGTTCTGGCAGGTTGCTCTCAGAGAGCACAACCATGCTGGTGTATTGCCTGACCTGCTGCGTGCTGTGTAACCTAAGCGACCTCCACTCGTCTTTCTGCTGCTTGCTCTCCACATCTCCTGGACTCAGTTCATCCCTGATTCCATGAGGCACTGATAAGGCAGAGTGGATAGTCCACAGTGTCGATGTACCAGATTTGGGGAGGGTGACTGCTCTCCCTTGCGTCAACTTTGATGATGAGGAACAGTGGGAAGGTAAAGAAAGCAGATAGGCTCCAATTTTACGAAGTCCATCATTCTCTCTGCTGCTCTGACTGGAACCTTGTGTACCAGTGCTGGCTAGATGGGCTGCCCTGATTGGACGTTGCAAAGTCACCTGGTCCATACTGTGTGGCCGGCCTTGTCACGGACCTCCACTGCAGTGATCTTGTTGACACTTTGGTGTTGGAGGAAGGCTCCAAGATGCTAGGTGAGATGGAGGGATCGACAGGTGCCCCCAGTGTGAGGAGAGGGGTTAAGAGATGTCTCAACTGCACAGCCTCCTCCAGGCACAGAATGTCCCCCCCCCCACCTCTGCACACCAACAGGTAGCCCTCACAGGTCACCTGAGGCCACTTCACCTGAGGGACAGAAGGATAACAACATTAGAAGAGTGTTCGATAATACTGGTGTGACCATGGTTTTTCCATAGTTCAACTCCATAGTCAATTAAAATGTTGTTGTTGAAGGTCTTGGAGTTTGGTGTTGATATCAATGCTTTGGATGGTCTTGGTGTCGATATCAGTGCTGTTTGGTGTTGGTGGTCTTGGTGATGATATCAATGCTGTTGGTGGTCTTGGTGATGATATCAATGCTGTTGGTGGTCTTGGTGTTGATATGAATGCTGTTGATGTTAGTGGACTTGGCGTTGATATCAATGCTGTTTGGTGTTAGTGGTCTTGATATTGATATCAATGCTGTTTGGTGTTGGTGGTCCTAGTGTTTAGTGCTGATATCACTGTGTTGATGATCGTAATGTCGGTATAAATGAGCTGGTAGGGGAGCTTATGTTGCTTCTTTCCTTTTGCTAAGAAGTGGGAGTAGACTGATCAAAAGACAGGTGCCTGAATACCACAATGGAGGCCATTAATTCCTGCCACTTTCTGCTGCAAATGTGTCCCATCATTTAGACCAGCACAATTCCTCACACAAGTTCACCTACATTTGGGTCCACGATTCTGTTTTGAAATACGTGCCATGTCTGCTCATTTGAGAAGTTACCCTGTGGAAGAGCAGCGGGAGTCAGTGTGGAGGGATCACTAGCGGGCGACAGCAGACAGGAGGCGCCGTCGTCCTCTGTTGTCACATAGAGTTGGCCAGATAGTAGGGAGATGGGGAAATGGATCAAACAAGTGGCAGGAAAGAGATGATATAAAGACAAAGTTCTCCTGCAAGACTCTGTAGCGTTATACGCTAACAGGAAGCCTGCACATCAGCGCACAGCATACCCTTTGGCAAAATGTACCCTTATGTATGAATACATGATATATACCATTTAAATTAAGATGTTCTGCTTTCCAAAACCAGACCCAGTGCCAGTCAACCAATTAGGAGACATAGGCGGCTGCCTAGGGTGGCATCTTCTGAGGGGGCACCAACATAGCAAAATGCCCCCCTCCCGACCCGGTGGTGCAGCTCGGGTACGGCTCCACATGGGCTTTGTCCGGCACTAGCCGGGCCCCACCATATCGTTAAATTAGTTTGTATGACTGAATCTACCCCACACAGAATCTGCTGGGGGGTGCGTACTGGGCGAGGAGGAGCTCAGCTGCTGGGCTTTGATGCCTGGAGGTGGAGGAGGTGGGGAGTTAGTGTCAACCGTAGGCTCCGGACCGGGGTGGGGGCGGCAGACATTCAGCTCTGAGAACAGAGGGGACATGACAGAAGGGACAGGACAAGGTCAGACCAGGAAGACCTAAAGCTTTCTGGTAGCGTACCAAAACAGTGGAAACCAGTCAAGCTGCTTTCCGTGGCAGCATTTGCTTAACAAATTCATAACTTGAAGAAAAAGTGCAGTAGAATCGCCGAGGGCCTAATTCTCTGTGGCCAGCAGGGGGCAGCGTTGTGACTATAAACTCAAAGATCTGATGACAGAATGGAAAATATCAGTGGAAAGTTGTAATGGTGGGTGCTGCTGCGGGACGCTTGCCTGCGTCGTCCTTGATGCACAGGCTCTCGATCTCCTCCCGCAGCGTCGCCATCTCCCGCTCCAGCTCCCCGTTCCTCTTCTCCGCCTCCCGAAGCCTCCTGTAACAAAAGGGGGGGAGGGGGGACAGGATTTGTTTGTATACAAATGCTTGCGTTAATCATCTCCTCTACGCAGAAATCACTTGCATGTGAGCATCCCATCCCGTGAAAGCAAAGATAAAATATATGTAAATTACTGAAAGGAGACATGCAGCTTATCCAGACTCAAAGCCCTTTAATCTCGGGAGAATCTGTTCTAGAAACACCTGTAGCTGACATGCACACGGGCAAGTACCTGTGCAGGTCGTCACTCCACACCATGTTTATCTGTGCCTTGTCGCCGCCACACACAGCACCTGCTGTTCCTGGCACGGCCAGCAGGGGGAGCACCTGCAGCGCCGGCAGCTCAGCACTGGGACTCTCCCTAAGCTGCCATACCGGACTCTGCAACAGCACAAAGTGAGCCGTAGTGTGTTATGTTATCACAGCTGTCTTAGCCGATTGCGATCCGGCTCGCACCAGTTTCTCCTGGAATCTCAGAGTGTTGCAGTCTCCGACTGCCTGCCAGTCAATCTCCATCATGATGTCATGACTCCGATCCACCGCCCCTGTCTCTCTACACAAAAGGAAGACAAAAAAAAGAAAGAAAGAAGCCTTTCACGTGTGTTAAGCTCTACAGGCGACATGGCACTTCCACAATCTGTAACTGACTTAGAGATAAGATGCATTACATTCAATTGGCCAGCAGGGGGCGGAATTCCAACCTTTTGGGTAGAAGTTGAGAATGTGTCTCACCTCGTGGCTGTGTAGGAGTAGCCCACAAAGGCCAGGTGAACCCCCACAGGAGCCCGGTCCATGACATCACACAGCGTCTCCTGTCGGACACAGTTTCCTCCACACATGACTGCATTCCCAAACGACTGTACCGACTGTACCGAGAAGCTCGACCCGGCGACCGGCTGGAGGCAGCCTTTCAGACTCCGTGCCGGTGGCACAGTCAAACGTTCGCTCCAGCAGCACCCAAATTTAGACACGGCTCGAGAAATGACAACAACCGGGCCAGTTTTACCCAGAAATAGCCGTGTTTATGTTCGAAAAAGAAACATGGATGTCAGTTTGCCAGTAACAGCCCACCAGTGAAAGGAGCTACATTTCCGTGCCCCGGATTTTATGCGAAAAATACAAAGAGAACCTGCCACAAGCCGGGAACATCAATGAACCGCAAATTTCACAGGAGTGAACTCAGTGTAGAAAGTCACACGTGTCTCTGGATAATTATAGCAAAATCTGCCGGTGTTTCGGTTCTGTCAATCTCGCTAAAAAGTTTACGTTTTTGGAGTATGCGGAACGCATTCCCGTAGCCATGGTTACGCACGCCAAACAGACACATGTATAATCAGGGAGCCACTGGAATCTAGATTGTTAAACTCCGCCCCAGTGCAGCAGGACAAATCGCTATCTGCTGAGACTTTTACGGGCTCCCACAGGAGTTCCATAAACCCCTGGGGAGGGTCCTGAAGACATAGAGCCCCATGTGACTTGGAGTGGATCATCTAATGATGAACATGGAAGAGGAAACTGTCGGCAATGACGGCAGTGGGTGGGGGTCTGTAATTACCATCTCACTGAGGCAGTCATCGAGGACGTCGAAGTTGGAGGTGTCCGTGGGATTGGACACCTCGGGCAGGAACGGCGCCGGTTGGCGGTGCAAAGAGCCCCAGTCCAGGCCAGAGAAGAAGGGGTGCTTCCGGAAGTCTCCGCAGCCGCCGGCACCCAGGCGCTCCTCCCGTTCGCAGATCAGACCCTCGATGAGTGAGCGCGCCTCAGCAGAGACCTCGGGGCCCGACAGCGGGAACTCAAAGTACTCCTGGAGAACGCGCGCACACACACACGCACACACACACACAGTTCATATATATCTGTCATTGTGGGGACTCTCCATTTCTATGGACATAATCCAAACTTTAATAACTGTAATCCTTAATAGTCCTAACCCTAACCATAAATAAATAAGTCTTTTGACATTTCTAGTTTTTTGATTTATAATGTAGAGATCTGAAAAATATCTCCACAGGATAAAGGTTTTATTACATTATAGAGACATTTCATCCCCAAATCCAACCCACACACACACACACGCCTGCACAGTTCCTTAGCAACCAGAAGCTCTATCACCAGCTCTGAGCAGTTAACCAGCACAGTCAACCTACTTTACTCTCAATCCTGTAAACCAGTCCCAGTTAGGTACTAACCAACCAGTTTCACTTTCCAGTAACAAGCTGCAGACATTAAGACATAAAGCAATCTGCCTAGATCAGCGTGTCTACTCCCCTCACCTTGAAGTGGATGATCTTGGCATACGTCTCCGAGATGCTCTCTGCATAGAAGGGCGTGGTTCCGAAGAGCATCTCGTACGCGCAGATGCCCACCGCCCACCAGTCGCACTCTGGTCCATAGCCGCCGCCCCCCTCCACGGCTCGCAGGATCTCGGGGGACAGGTAATCCGGCGTGCCGACCGCCAGCGACGAGAAAACCTGAGAGGGTCCATGGGGGTATCAGTCAATGGCGCACGCAGTGGGAAAGCCAGGCTGACAGCAGGAATGTCGGGGTGACAGCGGGAACGCCAGACAGACAGCGGGAACGTCGGGGTGACAGCGGGAACGCCGGGCAGACAGCGGGAACGTCGGGGTGACAGCGGGAACGCCGGGCAGACAGCGGGAATGCCGGGCAGACAGCGGGAATGTCGGGGTGACAGCGGGAATGTCGGGGTGACAGCGGGAATGTCGGGCAGACAGCGGGAATGTCGGGGTGACAGCGGGATCGCCGGGCAGACAGCGGGAATGTCGGGGTGACAGCGGGATCGCCGGGCAGAGAGCAGGAACGCCGAGTTGACAGCGGGAACGCCGGGCAGAGAGCAGGAACGCCGGGTTGACAGCGGGAACGCCGGGTCCCTCACCATGCCATCTTCCTGAAGCCTCAGGCAGGAGCCGAAGTCGCCCAGGCGAATGTGGCCATCAGCGGTGAGCAGGACGTTGTCTGGTTTGATGTCCCTGAGCGGTGAGGGGTGGGGGGGGGGTTTAGGCACAGGGCACATATGTCGAATTACATGGCACATCCACACGAGAACACGGCAAATACATACATACATAAATACATACATGTAGCAGAGGAAGAGCAGTGGGTGATATAACAGATAGCCTGTTTCAGAGGGATGGAGTGCATACTCCTTACCTCTCTGTTTCAGAGAAACTGCATATGTGTTTGGAAATAAGACACAGGTTTTTGGTGTTGGGCTATAACTGTATAAGTTCACCGCGGTAAGACTTAGGGCTGGGCACTGGCACAGATGCCCTGATCCAATTCAACCCAATTTAATTAGATTCCGATTCAATATGAAACCCATACAAGGGCGTAACTTTGGCTGGAACACTGGGGGGGGGGGTTGAGGTCTCCACCCATTACGGGAAAAAATGATTATTGGGGGGGGTTGTATTAGCTGGTTTTGATTTATTGGGGGGGCTACAACCCCCCCATCCCCCCATAATTTACGCCCATTAACCCATAGGAATGTGATACTATACAGTAGCTTTCCATATCTGGAGAGATGTTTGAAAAGCTCTAAATGGAAGACAAAATTACAAATGTAGAGTCACTGGAAACAAACTGTGAAAACCACTAAAGGAAAGTCTAAAGGCTTGTATGCCAACATCTTGTCGATTGAGGAACACATGGGTATAGATCCTCAAAAACAAAAGCAACCGTCTCTGTCAAACCACAAAAAATAACTTCTGACTAAAAAGAATAGCTGCAAATAAAAATGCGCAAATCTAAACCTCACAGGCCATGTTTCCAAAGGACTTTAACTTAGATATGTGCCAAAATATAAATTAGAGCCTTTTTATTTGAGGAATGTAATGGTTTTATTTAGGGCTGGGAACTAGCCCTGATCTCATAATTCAATTCAATTCACAAACACCCAATTCATTTAAATTTATTTCATTCATTTCAATTTATGTTTATGACACATTCACTAACATGCGATCAAACTAGATTGATCTTGAGATTCGCGATTAATCTTAAAATTGATATGTTTTCCCACTCCTAGTGAAGCAGTACCTGTGTACATATCCCAGCCTATGGATGGAATCCACGGCCATCACCAACTCTGCCAGGTAGAATTGGGCCATATCCTCTGAGATCCGGTCCCCGAATTTACTGAGCAGGGTCAGCAGGTCACCACCAACGTAATAATCCATCACCAGGTACTGGGTGAAAATTAGGGGTCTATTCAAACATTTACTACGGTAGAGATTAAAAAAACGGCAGGTGAAAATGACGTCAGCCTATGTGTTTCATGCAGCAATCTCCTTAACCACAGCACCACCTGCTGGCCACCACGATTTTGCAGGTTGACTTTAATAGAGAGTAGCTACCAGGTAGTTGTCGTCCTGGAAGGCGTAGTGCAGCTCGGTGATCCAGCGGCGATCGCCTTTCACCAGCACCTCCCGTTCTTCCTGGTAACACCCTGTCTGAGGGGGGTGGGGGGGTGGGGGGGGGGGTGGCGTGTGATGTTTTGCTGATAACCATGAATGTTCCCTCAATAGTTTTATTTAGTTTGGTCTAAACACTGAGCATTTCCATGGAAATGGGATTCAGGGTGTCACTGGATTTATGCTGTGCTGGCTCTTCTGTTCTACTGGCACCAGCTGGGATTCGACCTTCTTCATGGCAGCCATTTTTTTTTTACCTCTATGTCTTAGCTGTTGGGGGAGGGCCTCACCTCTCCACGCTTCAGCATGTCCCACTTGTTCATGATCTTTAGAGCATAAATCTGCTGTGTCTCACGCATGCGTGCCAGCGCCACCTGCAGGGGAAGCAGTCAGATCCATACAACTGGATACCCCCCCCCCCAGGCTCCTCCACAAATGGGGTTTAACTCCGCCTCCTCACCTCACTGAAGGTTCCTCGGCCAATCACTTTGAGGACGTCAAAGTCATCGCGCTGGATACGAGTCTTCTTCACCTGCCTCACAAATGGCTCAGCTTTGATTGGACAGTAGTCAAGAGAGATTGTTGCCATTGGTTAGTCTGTGAGTAAACCCATGTGACAGCCAAAACCTCAATGGATTTAAGCTGCTGATCTTATTATATGAATGGATGCTTTACACTTCCCTCATACTGATCTAATCAGTAGACAGGCAGGGGCCTGGGGGGTGGCAAGTCCCGTCTGTTCATGGGGAATGTGGCGAATCCCACTTTTACACGCAATGTTTACCGTAACCCCCCCCCCCCCCCCAGACCCTCCGCAAAGGCCCATTCTGTTCCTTCTACCTGTCAAACAGCCACTTGAAAGTATCAGGAACCATGAAGCCTCCCAGGAAACACGGGCAACAAACAGAGAAGGCCGGCCTACGTCACGGCAGGCCTGAGGGGGCGGAGCTCGGGGTGGAGCTGAGGGCCGCCCAGCACTTCTCCCCTAAGAAAGCAGAGCCACAAATAGCCCAGTGGCTAAGAATAGCTGCCGCTGCTTAAGTCTTTTTTAAGGCAAGTATTCCAGACCTTCACATCCTTCCCTCTCGCTCTCTCAGGGTCTCTCATGCAGACAGGAATGCAGGCAAGTCCAAGGCAACACTATAAACTGTATTAGTGGAAGGAACGGGGAAGTTTCCAGAAACGGTTGTCCCCCCCTCCCACCCCCAATGCCCTGGGCCCTCTGTTCCCCAACAAAACTCAGCAATGCAGGGCTTACTAACAACTGCTCAGCTCACCCACCTTAGTGTCACACCTGTCCGAAGTGCCACCAAAGCGGCCACCAGATGGCGCCACAGACAGGCCACAGCGTGGCGAGTGAACAGAGGGAGGCCCCTGCCCCCCCCCCATCCTAACGGGGCTGGTGACAGAGAGCAGGGTCCCCACGTGAAGTGGAAAGTTGAGTGTGGACGTGCCCCCCTCCCCTCCCGATGTGGGACTCTCCGCTCCTCTCAGGGGCTGTGTTTACCGCAGCCCTGCACTCGTGGATGGGGGCCAGCCCATCTGCCAGCCTCATAAATGGAAATCTCTCCAGCGGGGGGACAGGGATGCAGCACACTGTATCTGCTCTGTGTCCCCCCCCCCCCCCTCTTATTCTTGGGTGCCCCGAGTTTTCTCTCTGACATTGATGCCCCCCAATGTCCGACCCTTCCTTGTAATCGTATTGGTTTACAGAAAGGACCCCAAACCCTTCTGATTGGGACAGTAAGGAAGAGATGAGCTGGTTTGAACCTACAGTGTGTCAGAACCGGGCCGGGTCCACCAGCAACCCCCAGGCCCAAACGTCCAGACCCTGCACTGGGAGGGTTGTGGTCTGTTCCTCTATGTGTTGACTCTGGCCGGGTCCCCAGCTGCCCCCCCCCCACCCCTCCCAGCCAGCCATGTAGGGAGTGTCAACCTGGTATGGCACACTCACCCACAGCAAGGCGGGTGGAGGGGGGGGGAGGAGAGAAAGCAAGAATGAGAAATGGAAGAGAGAGAGGCACACAGACAGACAGGCAGACAAACAGACAGACAAACAGACAGACAGACAGGCAGACAAACAGACAGACAGGCAGACAGACAGACAGACAGACAGGCAGACAAACAGACAGACAGATAAACAGAGAGGGAGACAGAGGGAGGGAGACAGACAGACAGACAGACAGACAGACAGACAGACAAACAGACAGACAGACAGACAGGCAGACAAACAGACAGACAGACAAACAGAGAGGGAGACAGAGGGAGGGAGACAGATAGACAGAAACACTTCCTTCTGTCTTCACCCCCAGGTTGTTCTTGTGGTTTAATACTAACTGTAATTGCTGCTTATGGACTATTTAGTGATAGGTCAGCAGGTCACTTTGAAACTTAACTCGAGGTCGTGTGTGGGGGGGGGGTGCATTCCCAGACAGTAGAAGGACAGAGGATGCACTAAGGAGAGGGAGATGGAGCTGCAGTTTGTCATGCCAAAGAATCGCTAAAGTAACACATATAAACTGTGGATTGCAACCCCCCCCCGCTGATTCGCCCCCTCACACAGGAAGAGGGAATGAAGCTCGACAACAAAGCTAAAGTCTGCTCATTCATTAAGGGCTTAAATCGCCATTCTAAGCATTAGCGGGGTGCTTGTGCATCTGGTGCTGCTCTGTTCCTGTTTTTAATTGCTGTTCACTGTTCATCTCATACTCTGCCAATTCAAAGATGACGTCTAATATGATGTGAGATGAAGTGAGCTGTACTGAGCGTGGGGAGACTGGGGGGCTCAGGGGTGGACGAAGGAGTGGAGAGAGGGGGAGTGGACAGAGAGAGAAGCAGAACAGGCTGGGGGTCCGGGGGGTTGGGGGGTGGCTCAGGGGCCTCCGGATGAGCGTTTGCGGTCTGCGGGAGCGTGGATGCTACACCTCAGTCTGCACAGCCCTCAGGCCACTCTGCACCAAAGCAGCTGCAGTGACAGGCGCATAAAGAGAGGATGTTGCACAGGCTCACGCAGAAAATACGCCTGATATTTATACTGTGGCTCCAGGGCAACATGACTTCACCATGCATATGAATGACAGACATGAACAGACGAAGGTCCCTTTTAATGAGAAGCGGAGGTGAGATTATGCACCTTTTGTTCGAAGGTCTGAGGCAAAGTGACCAGCGACAGGCACAGGTGGAGACCCAGTGCTGATACAGACTGCCGTAAAGAGACACAATGCTGACAGACTGCTGTCCACAGACCCAGTGGTGATACAGACTGCCGTACACAGACCAAGTGTTGATACAGACTGCTGTATAAATATCATGTGCTGATAGAATGCCATACATAGACCCAATGCCGATACAGACAGCTGTAGAAACACCCAGTGCTGATACAGACTGCCATACACAAACCCTGTGCTGATATAGACTGCCATACACAAACCCTGTGCTGATATAAACTGCCATACACAAACCCTGTGCTGATACAGACTTCCATACACAAACCCTGTGCTGATATAGACTGCCATACACAAACCCTGTGCTGATATAGACTGCCATACAAAGGCCGAGTGCTGATATAGACTGCCCTACAAAGACCCTTTGCTGATACAGATTACTGTAAAAAGACCTTGTGTTGATACAGACTTCGATACAGAGACCAAGTGCTGATATAGACTGCCATACACAGACCCAATGTTGATATAGACTGCCGCTAATATAGACAGACCCAGAGCTGAAACACAGAGGACTGTGCTAATGAACAGAGTAGTAATTAGTAATTAGTAGCCTACATTAAGTCCCCGTGTGATTAAATCTTGTTTACAAGACTCTGTGCAGAATGTGCAGCATTTGGGTCTTGGGTTGGAGGTCAAACAACTCTGCAGATTCACCTGCAGTCCAGCCAAGGGGGCCCCCAGTGGCCAAACAGTGAAAAACAGTGAGAGTCCAGAACTGTGCTAGCAGAAAGAGCTGTGAAAGACCCTGTGCGAACAGACAGACCCCACAGTTCCGCTGCGTGTGTAAGCACATGTAAGCCTTTCAGCTGTCTGTAATCCCAATAGCTTTGCCTCGATTTAACCAGCTGAATTCTGCTCCTATAGCCCTCAGGGTCATCATTAACGCCCCTCCAAGCCCCCCGACGACCAGGCCAAGGGGACACCCAGGTAATACCTGGCTGTGGCAGATGGATGGTCATTTCCAGAGGGTGGGACTGAACCGTGTGTCTGCCTGGGGGGTCACCGGCCGGGATCCCGAGGAGTTTCGCTGTGTGTTGGGTGCGGCAACGAGCTGCATCAGCTCATGCTCCCCAACCTAACCAGACCTGGGGACTGCTAATGGCTGGAACATGCCTCCGTAAGGGAAAAGGCCGGCGTGGTTTCCTCTCTGACTGCAGTGGCTGTGTTATTAAGGTGTCGTTCAGTGAGGAAGGCGATCTCCAGCCTCACAGACGGGAAACAGAGGAGTGTTAGCCCCAGGACACACCGGATTACACCCAGCTTAACTCTGCTGACAGAAGGGGGTGTGTCTGGACGGCAGTGATGTTAGTGAGGTCGAGACCTACAGTAGCAGGGGCTGCGACCGCTGTCCGGAGTGACACGCTTTACCCTGAACGGCCTCAAGAAATATCCACAAAAAGCAGAAGCGACTGAAACTGGTCAGTTAGGATATAGCGTGTCACATGACAATGGGGGAACACAATGCTGCAGTAAGTCTTGGGAATCGGTCCCTGACTCAGAGCTGTCGATCCCCCGGACGCCAGGGGCGGGCATTTCTCACGTCACACTTCCTAACATGGACTCTACTCGGGGAAGAGAAACAGCTGGCTGCAGGAACGTGCAGAACGGGGAACGTGCAGAAGGGGGAGAGGGAATGGTGAGACACCTACGTTTAGAATTCAGTCCAAGGTGTGCTTCAGATTGGGGGTGTGATTAGAAAAAGCTGCTGAGACAAACAGGAAGCCCCCCCCCCCCCTCCCAGAGCAGACGGTACTCACCCCAATTCAGGAAGCCACACACGTACTTCTCCTGCGCGAGCGGCGAGGCGCGGAACTCCTGGTACACGCCCACCAGTAGGTCCAGCAGCGTCTGCAGGCCCACCGGGCCGGACCCGCTCGCCCCGCCCTCCCCGACCGTCTCCTGCGGCCCGGAGCCTGTGGACATAGTGCCGGTTCCCGCGTCAGCGGCCCATGGTCCCGTTGGAGGAGGTGTTCCCGCCTGCCCCCTGACCTCCGCTCTGATTGGCCGCTGGTGGCCTGCCCTGGCTACAGGCTTTGACCTCAGCCCTCCGCCGTCTCTCTCTCTCTCCCTCCTACACTCCCTCGCTTCACTGCCGTCTCTGTCTGACTCGCGGCGTCCCCAGCTCTGGCTTGAGCCCTTTTTTGGTGTGTCTCCCTCCCTCCCTGCGCCTGCCCCCTTTCTCTCACTGACTCGTCTCTTTCACCGTTTTCCGCTTCTTACGACTGAGGCTCTCTGAGGTCAGTGTCTCCGTCCCAGTACCACCCGGCCCGGTTCCTTGCTCCCTGCTCCTCGTCCAGGTGACCCTGCCGGTTCCCTGTCTCACGCCTCCTCCACGTGCCCTTAGACCCTGTCTGTTGCCATGGCACCATTCCTCCTCCCTACCCCGTAAATCTCCCACTGACTCCACGTTCCTCACGGCCGGTTACAGCCTCTCCACTCGCCCCGCGTCTCTCTGACATTGTTTATCTCCGACCTGAGGTCTTTCTCTCTCTCTCTCTCTCTGTTTCTTTCTCTCCTCCCAGTGTTTTTTCTTGGTCTGTTTTTCCTTTTCCAGCTGACAGATCCCCCTCCCTCCCCATCTCTCTCAGTCTTGTTTATAAATACTCCTTGGCTACAGAACCCCTCCATCTGTCCTGCCCCCCACCTCTTGCTCTGACAGACAGACAACAGCACATGACACATTCAGGAATGTCCTTTTTTCTGCTACACATCCAGTGTTACACAGAACTTTCTACATTTGCCTTTACATGATTTACTTTGTCTGTTTTTATATTACTGGTAAATTTCGCTTCTGTATTTTTGCCTGACAATAAAAGTACCTTTCTTTGTGTGTCGGGGGTCACAGGTTCAGCCCTTTAGTATTCTGTAACAACAGCACCACCTACTGGAAGAATGAGCACCCCCGGCGGCTGCACCGTGAATCGACGTGCCGGCTGAGACTGAGCCACTCAGCTGCCTTCTGCCGCGATTTGATGCTTCCCCGCAGATTCACAAAAACTTATGCCCACGGTACATGGCAAGTTCAAGCTGTCTGACTCTCCAAAGCGTGGTTCTGTGTTGGACAGACTGTATGTCTGGGTGAATTTAGCCTGGTCACACTGATATCAAGACTGAATAAACTCAACAGTCCCCTTGCCCGAATAACGCTGAGAAACTGACTTTCACAATCTCACTCACCCGTGCTTCTCTATCCCTTTCTAGAGGTGCCCTCTAGTGCCCATAATTGGAAAATGGTTGCTCTCAGATGGCCTTCGTGAGGTACTGGTAATATAAATGAGGCTTCTAAATTACCATCAACCAACAGTCATGACTTGCTTTGTCTCAAGATATGCTAACTAATAATGTGAGCCTACTAGTCCCGGCCACTGCAGTTTCCGTGCCCTCATTTAAGCCTAGAACCCACTCAGATTCAGCCAATTCAATCCGCAGTCACACCCGAAGGGCGACAGTCATCAATTCACTCGGACTGCAATAGGGAGACGCAAGGACTAGAAGGAAACACGTGAACAGAGAGATATATTTGCACAAACACAGCAGGGCATCGATTTTTACTTGTGACCTTGCAGCTGCAGGAACAGTAATTATACTGCCAGTGGGATCGTGCGGACCAATAAAACGTGCCACGTGACCCGGACTTCACGTCCAAAACGTGTCATGTGACTCGGGCTTCATGTTTAAAATCCCCTTAATTGGCGTAGGCTTCACATCAAACTATGTGAACCCGTAATAAATTGTTTCCCACAAGTTGCGGAAAGTATTTAGCTGTAAAAAGAAAAACGACTAATTCAAGTTACATACTATACACATATGTAAGCCCCCTGGTTCTACAGTGATGAAAACTGACCCCCCCCCTCCCCGACTGAAGGCAATAAATTATAACCCCCCCGTCAAGTTTAACACTGTGTGTCACCAGACACTGGACGCTTCTCGTAAACCCTCATAACCTTGGGGTGGTAGTTATGTGGGAACGGACTGAGTCAGGCGAGATGAAGTTATTTCACAGGAGAGACAAGCTAAAAGCATGGATGACTTTTTTCTTAAAGTTTGCCCGGAAGGAGTATTTAAAAAAAACGGATGAAAGTCACTGCAGCACCCTCCTGCTTCAGCTGTCGCAAACAGACTCTTCTCCTTAGGACACTTTCTCAAAGCCGGTGTCATATTTACCGCAAGCAAACCTGCGACGGTGCTGCTGGAGATCCCGCTGCGGGTTATATGCTGTTTACCGTGTCATCGCCAATGTTCATTGGTATTCAGGCAAAGACGACTCCCAGGAATAGAGATGCCAGGCTTACCCCGGAGGTGCACCATGAAAGCAGCTACCTGCTGCCTTGTCAAAAACTGGCTATTTATGAGTCTTTTTGGTCCATTAAAGTCCACGCAAAACGTGTCTAAAGTGTGAGCCCAAGTCACCTCTTATTGCACATTTTTACTGTGGGAAATTTGCTGCAAGGATCAGGTTAAATCTACCCAAAACCAAAGTTTCATTCGGTTTGTACTTAATAAATATTATGTGTGAAGGACATGGAAACACTCAGAAAGAGATAATGTACAAATTTTCCCAGTTGGGTGTGCAGGGGAAGGTCAGGTTCTCGACTTGTGCAAATCTTTAGTGTATCATCTCAGTGATTCACGAGCCATCTGGCAGAACTTCCTATTGCACATTTCATTGTGGGAATTGGACATCCTCAAATCTGAGAACTTATTGCCTGGTCTCAATACCACTTTTACGCTGTCTTGGTTCTTGTCACAGTCTCGACAGTCTATGGTCTTGGTCTTGTCACAGTCTCGACAGTCTATGGTCTTGGTCTTGTCTTGGTCTTGCATTTGATTCATGTGACGTGTGCGCATGTCTTTATATTGTTTGATTTCAATATTTTACTTAGAATGCTGTTATTTGACTAAATAAATGTGACCATTGACTTTTAAATAACATCTGCATATCACGTGTTGATTTAACAGGCCTAATCCATTTCAGGGAAGTTGATATCATAGTGTCATTTGGCTAGTACTACTACAATGGGACATGATGTCATTTCAAGTTTATAATTGTGTATCTTCAATATGATGTTACAATTTCATCTACAAATTAAGTATAATTGAAATCAGTTACATATTTCCCATCCTTTAGACAGTTGTTGGAGGTGTTAGCTGTTTTGTCAGATGACTTTGGGACCAGTCAGTACCCGTCATGTCAGTCCTCAACAGCACACAAAAGTTAAGGGAGTCTTTTTTTCAGTCTCGGTCTCGGTCTTGGTCTTGACTCGGTCTGTCTTGGTCTTAGTCTTGGTCTCGATACCCTCTGCTCTTGGTAGTGTCTTGGTCTTGGTTTAGGCGGTCTTGACTACAAGTCTAATATTCGCTACCATGATAAGCTCAGAGTCTATCTAGAATTACTACTTTTCTCTTTTTATAACATTGGCCTAGTATTTTCTCGTATATTCTATAGGAATATCACGACACCTCTTTGTTTTAATGCTAAGTTCATAATCAAGCGGACTGTAGAAAATAGGGCTATTTTATCTTAACTCTGAAGCCAGCAGTTACACTAAGTGTCCACATAGGGGCAGCAAAAACACGAGTTTATACCACTAACTCGGACATGAACGCGATATTGCGTATGTAATCCTATTTCCAAATTATACACACGTCCTGACCATTAACAAATGCAGTCTTTTATAGCATACGCTTTTAAGTGACCCGTGCAACGAGATCTTCTCATAATGACAGTCAATGGAATACAAATGCTTCTTTTATAAAAGAAGTGAAATGAACATTGCTGCCATTCCGTGCTGCAAATGCCATGAGGGGCCAGTTTAATCCCTGGCAGATGTTTTTAAATGGAAGAAAACTATCGTTACCTTGAAAGCAAACCACGAGTTTAATCGGCCCAGTTGGGCCCAAATGCAGCCCAGGTGTCTCATGTTGTATTAACCATAAAAATCTTAGAAGCCAGGATGCTGACTAGGGCCAGAGCGAAGCCTTCCTGGGATGGTCTGATTTACGTCTGTCACGAGCCTTTTTTATGTTCACTCTGCTTCATTCTACCTGAACTTACCGAACGTCAAGCTCCTGAAGACTGATTACCGCCTCACTCCATCTCTCTCTGACACCCTGTGTGATGTCTGAGTACATCTAGGACACTGGAGAGTGGGAGCGAGACTTAAAAACACTCCATGGAAACCAAGCAGAAGATGGAGGAGTGACTCGTGGGAGATGGATAGCTGGCAGGAGATCATCTACGATGAAAAGGCAATACAGATTCACCCATGTCCTCCGAGGTAATGAGACGGCCTTTAAAACATTCCGCATGGAATCACATGTCTATTCACAAATCGGAATGGTTGGGGCGCTGTCATGTCGTCATAGTAACAGCAGGCTATACCGCCTCACCCTCTAAGCCCCCAGAGGTGGGTCCACTTGGGTGGCCTGGCGGACATCAGATCCACACCCTGCCCCGACCTGGACCTCCGGGGGAGAACCGGGACTGTGTGCTGGGAACAGCTGTCTGGGAGGTGAACATTCCCAGTGTCGGGAATACGCGGCTCTCTCCCCTTACAGGACTGGCCTCGCTCCCGAACTGTGGAATGCAGACGGAGACTCAGGCAACAGCAGGCAGGAAACACGGCTTCAGTGTGCGAGGGCCTCAGTGTCTGTGCGTGTGATGGATTAAATGTTAGCGGCAAGGGAAGGGAAAAAGAGGGACAGAAAATGGACAAAGACTGAAAGTAGCCACCTTTCTCCTGAGAGGCCAAGCTCGTCTGAGTCTGATAGCAATGAGACAAAGAAAGTTATGAAGGAGAAAGAGGTCAGTCGGCCTGTAGGATGAAGAAACCGTGCCAAACTGAAAACCGCGCCTCCCCCCTCCTCATCCTCCCCCCTCCCCACCCCCTGCCAGTCGCAGTCACCCTGTCCTCTCTCCCCTCCTCTCTTCCATGTTAATCAGATCCAGATGTTGTACGGGGCCGGGCTCAGTGATCTCCCCACCGCTGCAGTTTTTTGTCTACCTCTTTACTCTCCCTGTTCCTGCTCTCCCCCGGATCTCCTGGTTTCCGTTTGCCCCCGCTGCCGGTCCACCGTCGCACCCCTGCCCCCTCCCACTTTCCCTCCATCTCCTTCCCAGGAAGTGCTCCGGGTTCCTGGCCCGAAGGCCACATGCCTCTCTAACAGCATCCAGATGGAAGGATGGAGTAAGTAGGACTGAGAGAGGAATCAGGAAAGAAAGAGAAACAGTGCTGGGTTGGGGGGCGGGGGTTTGCTTAGATGACTTTAAAAGTCTCTCTCTCTACTAGATCCTCATACAGCTCAGTCTGTAGGGAGGCCTCTCAGCTCACTCCTGCTGACCCATGTGTCTGTTCACCTATGACTCACTGCCTGTCCGACTATCTGCCTGACTCTTTCTCACTTGCGTGACTCTTCCTGACTGTCTTCTGGACTGTCTTGCACTGACCGTGTTTCCTACGTGGCCCTTCGTGATTTTCTTGCACGGCTCGACTCCAGCTCCCCTCCGCTCTCGCACTTCCCGGCTATCCGTGCACCGCCTCCGCTTCCTGTGTTGCTGCCCCATGCTCAGCCCAGGCCTGCAGACAGATCGCCCTTTGTTCCCTCGCTCCTGACAGAATCCCCCTCCCCGAGTCTGTGAGTGGCGCTCGACATTAAACCGCAGCCATATGCGTCTGCGTGTGTGAGTGTGAGCGTTCATTTCTGTGTGCACGTGTCCTCTGAGTCTGTCTGCCCATCAAATGTGTGTGTATGTAGGGGGGGGGGGTCTGCACACTAATGTGAGAAATAGGAGTTGTGTCCCATTCCCTTTGGTGCTGAGGGAGAATGGGCCGTACCATGTCTGTCATGCAGCAGGGGGGAACAGGGGCAACCAGCCCATGATCCCATGCCAGCACATAGAGGAGTCCACAGTACCCCCAATGGTACCACCGCCCCAGTTACTGTCCCCCATGTGACATCACAAAGCATCCCAGAATCCTTCTGTGCAGATCCATCTGTATAAGCGGATTCTTTTATTAAAAGTGGGTGGAAACGAGAACACAGCGACCTCATCATTAAACCAAAATCTTCTGCTCCTTAAGGCTAACCTGCCTGCTGCTTCACTCAGAACAAAATAATAACTCAAAATAGACTCTTTGTGCAACACAAGGCCAATGGCTACTTTGAGACGGAGATGTGGACAGGGGTGAGGAATGGAGAAAGAACCTTGGACCAGAACAGGGGTGGGGATAAAGAAGTAACTATGGCCCAGGACAGATGGGTGGAGGTGTGGGGCGGGGGGGGGGAGGGGGCTGTATAGGCTCCAGACTCAGTCTGTCCACCGTAACCCTCCCTCCTGATAAAATAAACCATTGACTGTTAGATCACAGCTATTTATTTACACATTTTATACAGGCTGCACGTCGGTATGTACACATTTACAGGTAGGGCGGCGCTGACCAGCGGGTCGGCGACCTTGGCGGTTGTGGCTGGGATCAGATCCCAGGAATGCTTCAATGGTAGGTTGATCCTACTCTTCCCTGCCAACGGCTCCAACTTCCCATCCTTGATCTGACTTGCCTGGTGGGGATGGGCAGGGCTGGTCCGCCCCCTCCCTTACTTTCCAGCCTCTTTCCCTGGAGCCTTGCCGTTCAATAGGCCTCCACACTTGGAGCCCCTGATCAGCGAAGGGGTCTGTGGGGTACCTACAGCAGTCTTGATATCCGACATCTCTTCCTGTGGCCCGCAGGGGTCTTGTGACCAAAGGGGTTATGGTTCACAGTGGCAGCGTGGAGGGACAAAGTGAGCAGGTCTGTCTGCATGCTAGGGGGTGTGGCCCCAGCCTCACACGGTGGTCATGACCTTGAGGGAACCTGTTCGGAAACGCAAGATCTTCTTTTTCAGTGCATGGGAGGCCTTGATCTTGACGAAGGCTTTGGGCTGCGTTGGGGCCCCAGGCAGGGCTGGCGGGGAGGGGGGAGCTAGCTGAGGTGGCAGCTGCTGGGGCCACACCAGACCGCCGCTTTCATCAGAGTCACTGGAAAGGGAGGTGGAGCCAGGGGACTCGGCCTCGCTCAGGCTGGACTCGGACTCCCCCGGGGCAGGAGGCCCATCCTCTGGCCTGCACATCAGCGCATGCTCCAGGTACTCTGGGTGGTGGTGGCCATGGGGTGGCCCGTGTGAGTATGGGTAGGGAGGCCCCGGAGCCCGAGGCTTGCGAGGGCGCCGGGCGGGGCCTTGCTCCCCCGGGTGCTCGCCTTCATCTTGACTGAGCTCCAGAGTGGACCGCCAGCGGCGGTAGCTGGAATTACCCTGTGGGGGGCGGCGGCTCTTGGCCGGGCCGCCCCTCCCTCCATCCCGCTCCACGGTGTTGTACTTCCTCTCGGTGCCCCCCCGCTGCCCCAGAAGGCTGTTCTCTGACTGTGAGCGGCAGGCCTTACGGCCGGGCTTGCGGGAGGCTGGTCGTTCTTCACTGAAGCGGCATTTCTTGGGTACGGCCCGGGACCGGGACTGGGGCTGCTCGGGCGAGTAGCCAGCCCTCCCGGGTTTAGGGGCTGCCGGGGGCCGGTGCGTGGGCGCCCGGCTGGGCGTGCGGCAGGGCTGCGCTGGGATGTACTGGGCGCTCACCATCTGGTCGTAGGACGACGGCGAGTCAGGGGCCGGGTAGCTGGGGAAGTGTTGGGGCGAATCGGACTCGCTGACACTTGGGTCGGGGCCCCCCCCTGCGTAGTCCACAGAGGCGGAACGAGGCAGCCCGGTGAGGGCCGCCTGCCTGGGCAGGGCGTACATCACGGGCAGAGCGTCCTCCGCAGGCAGGGCCGCGTAGTGCTGCTCATCCAGACTGCGGCAGGCCCAGGCTTGGCCCTCCAGCCCTGGTGAGACGTTACGCAGCTCGGGACCTAAGGGGGGCTCCTTGCGGCACAGGCTGCTCTGCCGGACCACGCCCCTGGAGTCGGGGGGGCCTAGGCTGGTGCGTGGTTTGGAGGGCCGCTGGGGAAAGGCCCGGCGCTGGATGAGACCCAGGATGTAGCTCTCCACGCGCTGGGCCTGCTTATAGTCCTCGGCCGTGGGCTCCCCCTCCAGCTCCGAGGGGCAGTGAGAGTCCCACAGCCAGGGGTCCTCCTCCGCCGCTCCCTCCGCGATGCCCTCCAAAGAGGGGTACGGGGCAGAAAAGGAGCGCGGGACTGCGGGCCGTGACCCCATGTCCAGCATACCATCCCGGTTTGCTCCGAAGGCTTCTCCTGGGGACAAAAGACACGGCTTGAGGCTGAGCAGACATGCGTGTTTGCTTGCATGTTTTCCCGTGATTGTATGATCACTATAGCAGCTGTAAGAATGTGAGTGTGTGTGACTGCAGTGGTTTAGTCATCGCTCGTGAGCTGTGAGGTCATTCAGCTCCACCAAGGTTAGAAACTTCATTATTATTTTGGGGAGGGGGGGCAGGCCTGAGTTTGTCATGTAATAAATACTGCAGCTGCCCTCCCTGCACTGCTGCCCCTCTCCTCTGTGCTCCCTGCATGTGCATGCCGTTCCACATGCGCCGCTGTCATTATCAGTGTGCCTTCCCTGTGCCTAAAGCGGGAAGAGGTCCCATCTGTACCGTAGGAGGCTCTCAGTGTCCATGAGCTTTCCTGCCGCTGCCGGTGAAATTTTAACGCAGCGATCAGTGTCTGGGGCTGGAAAAACGTTCAGCTTTTTTAAATGATTTTCCTGCGGAGGCGAGGAATTCAAGCTCCGCGGGCTGCCAGCTGCTCGCTGAAACTTTCTGCGGCGATACATCAAACTGAGCCCTCCGACAGCCCCCATCAAGGTCCACGCAGATCTGAGGATAGGGGACTCACCAACGGACTTGGGTCTCTCCCCGGGGTAGGCTGGCCGTGTGGGGCGGGGGCAGCTGGGGGAGGGGAGCTCTCCCAGCGTGTCGGAGAGGCCGGCGGAGGAGCGGCCCTCGCTCTGCTCGTAGAAACCTGCGGGAGGAGCCGGCGAGGCGGTGAGCGCTTCACACCCCATACTGGCAACGCGCTGACATGCTAAACACGTCCGTGGCGTCGGCGTGACCCACTCTCCTTCAGTGCTAACCGGGTGACGCCAGGCAGGGAGTGACTGGCATGACCACCAGCTCCAGGCCTCTCCACCCCGTTACCCAGAGGGCTGTGCAGCTGAGTCAGAAGTTTACTCCAGGGATGTATGTTTGTTTATTGTCACTACAGACCAAGCATGTGAGAATTCACAGCAAACTCCCAACCTCCTCTGAGCTTGGAAATAAAATAAACGCTCTGGTTCTGGATGACGGTGTGTGGAGCCCGGCGTCATGTATGGGTCGGGGACGTACCTGAACTGGGTCGGCTGTCCCCCACCTCGCTGGGGCCCTCTGGGACGCTGGGCTCCACGCCTACCCTCAGCTCCCCCACTTGCTGTTCCAGCGCCGCCAGCAGGCTCCACGGATGACACTGCAGGCTGTTCTGTAGAACATAAATGCAGGGAGTCAGGGACACCACCAACCCACAGCGCCCCCAGCAGCCCTGGAGGTCACATGACCGTGAAGCGCGGTTTGAAGGTAGTGCATTCCCCTGAGAGACGGGGATGCCGGCTGGGGTGCTGAGCCGTCTCACACTCAGACATTGTAAACACTGAGCCTGTCTGTGCGCCTACACATGACGGGGGGGGGCATCTGGATGGGAGCAAGGGGCCGGGGAGCTGGAAAATGGGAACGTACGCAGATTCCGAGGAATTAAACCTGACCGTGTGAAACACTGATCCCGGCTGCAGACTGGTGGCTGTCGAATGCTGTACTAGGAAAGAGATGTTACGCATCTGTACTGCTCAACATTCCAGTCAGGACATTCACGGACTGACCCTGGCATGGCTGAGGCGGACCCAGACTCCCTTTGATCGTTTCTGGTCCTGTTCTGGCCCCTCCCATCGCCTACAGGCTTGAGCGGCTGTCCGAGAGGCACTTCTGTTCTGGAAAGCCGGGGCTATCGCTACTAAATCTATCCCATCAGTCCCTCGGTGTCAGTCACACTGATGAAGTGTACACCATGACAGGGAGACCTACCCTGCAGGGGACTCGAGACAAACGGCCTGTCAGATTCTGGGGGGGGGAGGTGTCATGGGGGTGGTGACAGTCTGGGACAGCTTCAGACAGGGGCTACGCTGAGACACCTCGAGGGACAGCGGCTGTCCCATCCATCCAGCCAACATCTGCCTCTCGTCTGCTCGTGTCCCCCCCGGGTGCCAAGCCCCTTGAGCCCCTTCTCCAGGCTGTGAGGTGGGGGAGGGGGGTTCATTGCAGTGGACAGGAGAATCGGTCCTTAATTTGGTTCTAAACAGTCAAAACAAATGAAAAAAAAAAGATCAAAACTCAGGGCGAATGAGCGGCACTCCAAGTGACAGGACCAGCGGGCTGTTTACATTCCTCCCACAGAGACACAAACGGAACCTTCTGGAGCGCCTCAGAGGACCTCGCCGCAGCACATCACATGACCACCAGAGCTCCCACAGCGGGGGGGGGGACATTTCACTTTCGCCTCCAATAATCCGCCGTCTATTCCCATATATTTGCCACAAAAGCTCATCTGTGTCCGTGGATGGACAAGACCTGATACCAGCTTAGGGGACGGTGAGCGTGCAGGAATG